CTCTGGCTTGCGGGGGCCCGGGTCTGCGGTCGAGGAGGTGCGTCCTCCTCCTCCTCCTCCTCCTCCTCCTCCTCCTCGTCCTCCTCTCCTCCCCCTCCTCCGTCACCTCCGCCCCCTCCTCCTCCTCCTCCTCCTCCTCCTCCTCCTCCTCCTCCTCCTCCTCCTCCTCCTCCTCCTCCTCTCTCTCTCTCTCGTTCTCTCTCGCTCTCTCTCTCTCTCTCTGCACTCGGCCCCTCACCAGGGGCAGCCGGAGAGACTGAAACGAGCACATCCCCAGTCCTCGGATGGGCTCCCCTTCTTCGGTCCACTGCGCCCCCCGTGCGAGGCCCGCTCTCCTCTGGTTTCGCCTCCTTCTGCTGCCCCTCCTTGTCCTTATCCTGCTCGTCTCAATTCCTCCTCCTTCCTGCCTCCGTCCGTTCCTCCCCCTCGCCCCGAAGCAACATATCTTCGCCTCCCTCGGCTTACCGCGCCCATCCTCGACCTGCTGTTGTCCTCGTTCTCATCCACGGATGCCCCAAACTGGCAGACATGTCGAACGGAACCCTGCCAAGAGACCTCCAAAAAACCTTGCCACAGGTCTCCCCTATAGCTTGCGCCCTACATCCCGCAGGCAACAGAATCGTCGGTTGCCCCGGTGGCGTGCGCCATGCGTTGCGCCTGACACTCTGCGGGTATAAATATGCCACGAGCTGCGCAGGGCCCCCCGCGGACAACCAACTCGTCCCTTGCCTCAATGGGTTTGCCGTACGGTACGTCGGATGTTGTGGGAAACCGAACCGTCCGACTCCTCAGCGTTTGTGCCATGACATCATGTGGAAACCCCTCAAAACATTGGCTATTCAAAGAGACCGCAAATCTCGACCCAGGTTAAGTTCTAGTGGCTCACGGGTGCCGACAACGATAAACATCGCAAGTATTGAAGCAGCAGTCCGCCAGATGCTTGGCCATTGATGATTTGTGTGCTGATGACGTGGGCGCTGTCTTCCGACACCGCGTGGATTGTCAAACCTCGAGCGATCAAGGCTTCACGATAGCACTATCGATCGATATCGGCCAATCTCGAAACCCTCCTGGCTTCATGTCGGCCTCCTGGTCCATGCGGCGTCCATATCGGTCCTGGTCCATGGTCTGGGGAAACTGCAAGGTACTGATACCGCCACGCCACGGACCTCTCCCAGGGTGCGTTCTGACTAAAATCGCGAGGCGAATCCAGCGGCGGCGACGAGGGCCTCCTGGGAGGCCCAAGAGGGGGACAACGAGGGTACCCATCGGTCGGAAGAAATGGGTACAAACATGAAGTAGGAATGCGTTGGAAGTAGATTGGATTTCCGCCCACCTCCTGAAGAGGGACGAAGGGAAGCCACTCGAACACTGAAGAAGGAAGGCGCTCAAAGAAGATTGGAATCTGGAACTCCAAAATAGGGGAACGAAGAATGACATACACATAAAAACTCTGAGGTCCGCGAGGATTTCTCGGATCGGCGCTGGACCCCCTCCCTGGCGCGCGGAGTGCGCCAGGGGGCTCCAGCGCGGATCCGAGAAATCCGCGCGGACCTCCGAGTTGTTATGTTTATGCCATTCTTCCTCCCCCTGCAAAAATACCTCCCTTCAACGACCGATGGTTGGGTGCCTTGCCCTCCTCGGAGTGCCAGGCCTCCTGGCTCCGCATCGGCCCGCTCCACGGCGGGCCTATGGCGGCGCTCCGCCTGGGCCTCCCGCGCCCGGGGCAGCAGTCTCTCGAGGCCCTCCCTGGCAGCAGAGGCCGCAGCCTTCCCCCGTCGCGCCGACCCCCCCTGCCAGACTCCCCCCCTCCCCCCAAACCTGGTCGAGCCTGACAGAGCAAAATTTAAACTGAGGTCTTAATTCCCTATATCCTAAGGATAGGGGTTCTTGTTATTACTCTGACGACTCCCACTGCTCCTCCTTCCTCCCGCTCGCGCCTCCCTCCTCCCAATGATAATCACCAGATAAGACAAGACATGATAAGATACCACAAGATAAGATAAGATAGCACAATATATGATAAGGTAAGATAAGATATATGACAAGGACTCGATAAGATAGGACTCGATAAGATAAGATGAGACTCACTCTCACTCAGACTCACTCACAGTCACATTCACTCACACTCACACTCTCTCATGATCACAAAACGCTGCCAGGGGCATCATTTGGGAGCCCCAAGGGGGAGCCACCCTGGCTGATCTCACGAGCCCGTTCGCGCCGATTTTGGTGGGACGTCTCAGCTAAAATTGCCGTTTGGCCTCCCCAACATGTCTCTCTTGAGAGCCTCATGGTCACAAAACGCTGCCAGGGGCATCATTTGGGAGCCCCAAGGGGGAGCCACCCTGGCTGATCTCACGAGCCCGTTCGCGCCGATTTTGGTGGGACGTCTCAGCTAAAATTGCCGTTTGGCCTCCCCAACATGTCTCTCTTGAGAGCCTCATGGTCACAAAACGCTGCCAGGGGCATCATTTGGGAGCCCCAAGGGGGAGCCACCCTGGCTGATCTCACGAGCCCGTTCGCGCCGATTTTGGTGGGACGTCTCAGCTAGAATTGCCGTTTGGCCTCCCCAACATGTATCTCTTGAGAGCCTCATGGTCACAAAACGCTGCCAGGGGCATCATTTGGGAGCCCCAAGGGGGAGCCACCCTGGCTGATCTCACGAGCCCGTTCGCGCCGATGTTGGTGGGACGTCTCAGCTAAAATTGCCGTTTGGCCTCCCCAACATGTCTCTCTTGAGAGCCTCATGGTCACAAAACGCTGCCAGGGGCATCATTTGGGAGCCCCAAGGGGGAGCCACCCTGGCTGATCTCACGAGCCCGTTCGCGCCGATTTTGGTGGGACGTCTCAGCTAGAATTGCCGTTTGGCCTCCCCAACATGTATCTCTTGAGAGCCTCATGGTCACAAAACGCTGCCAGGGGCATCATTTGGGAGCCCCAAGGGGGAGCCACCCTGGCTGATCTCACGAGCCCGTTCGCGCCGATTTTGGTGGGACGTCTCAGCTAAAATTGCCGTTTGGCCTCCCCAACATGTCTCTCTTGAGAGCCTCATGGTCACAAAACGCTGCCAGGGGCATCATTTGGGAGCCCCAAGGGGGAGCCACCCTGGCTGATCTCACGAGCCCGTTCGCGCCGATTTTGGTGGGACGTCTCAGCTAGAATTGCCGTTTGGCGTCCCCAACATGTATCTCTTGAGAGCCTCATGGTCACAAAACGCTGCCAGGGGCATCATTTGGGGGCCCCAGGGGGGGTCCACCAGGGGCTTCATAGTCACCAAACGCTGCCAGGGGCAGCATTTTGGCTTCCCAAAGAGGAGTCGACCCGGGCCTCCTAGTCGCCAGAGAGAGAGAGAGAGAGAGAGAGAGAGAGAGAGAGAGAGAGAGAGAGAGAGAGAGAGAGCGAGAGAGAGGGAGAGGAGAGAGAGAGAGAGAGAGAGAGAGAGAGAGAGAGAGAGCGGAGAGAGAGAGAGAGAGAGAGAGAGAGAGAGGGGGAGTTGAGAGAGGAGACAGGCGAGAGAAAGAGAGAAGAGAGAAGAGAGAGAGAGAGAGAGAGAGAGAGAGAGAGAGAGAGAGAGAGAGAGAGAGAGGAGAGAGAGAAGAGAGAAGAGAGAGAGAGAGAGAGAGAGAGAGAGATAGAGAGAGAGAGAGAGAGAGAGAGAGAGAGAGAGAGAGAGAGAGAGAGAAAGTGGAGAGAGAGGGGGGGGGGGGGGGGGGAGAGAGAGAGAGAGAGAGAGAGAGAGAGAGAGAGAGAGAGAGAGAGAGAGAGAGAGAAGAGAGAGAAGAGAGAGAGAGAGAGAGAGAGAGAGAGAGAGAGAGAAGAGAAGCGAAGAGAAGAGAAGAGAGAGATAGAGAGAGACCGGACAAGTAGGCGGACCAGGGTCCGTCCGCGAGGCGCACTGCGGTGCGACAACCCGCCAGACACTATTTGCGGCGGTGCAGCCTTGAGATACGAGGGCAGGCAACAAACCCCCTCCCCTGGCGCAATGCGACTGACGCTACAGACGGCGGACAGACAGTGAAGATCTCACGTGTCAGACCGCGTGGCGAAGAAGGCCCCAACAAGAAAGGCGACGTGCTGACACGTGGCTAGGCGGCTTGGCAGACCGCCAGTTGGGCGCTTGGCCGCAACGCGGCGCGCAGGGACGGGGCACCCCCCGCCCCCGCGCCCTGACACCGTGGACGCGGGGCCACGCGTGCACACGGGCAGGCAGAATGGCGGAGATTAGCGCGGGGCTCCAGGCGGAGCGCCGCGGAGCGATGACAGCATAGCATGGAGGGTGAGTGGCGGCGCAGCACCATCGGGCGAGGGTGTAAGCAGCTCGGCGAAGGCACGCCCGGCGCGGTGGAGGCGCTGGAGCAGAGGGCCTTGACGGGCTTGAGCAGCGGCAAGGTCGGCGGCGAGAGCAGCACACCTCTGCTGAAGAGCGGCCATAGACTGGGACAGCTCGGCTTCGCGGTCGGTGAGGGGCGGCTGCTCTGTGCCTGCGGCCGCGGGCCTCGTGGCGGGGACGAGGTCATCGGTGCGCCTGGCCAGGTGGTGGACCAGCGCGGCGCGGCGATCCGCGTGCTGGCGGCCGTCGCCCTTGCGAGGCGACTGGAGGGTAACGCGCGGTCCCAGGGCTGAAGCCGCTAGGGCCACGCCCCGTGAGGACGGAGGAGCCGCAGCCTCGCACCCAGCAACAGTAAAAGCGTGGACGGGGTGCGACGGCCTGACTGGCTCAGTGCCCTGCGGGGGGGCTGGAGCCGCCCCCGCGGGCTGGCGCTGGTGGGGGGACGGGGTGGGTGGCACGGGGGGGCCAATCATGATGCCGTGCGAGGGCTCGGAGGTCGGCCGCGTGGTCGGGTGGCGTCTCGATGAAGCGGCATCGTCGGCAGCGTGGGGTGTCGGCGGGGCGTCGTCTATGCTGCCACTCAATCCGAGGGGATCATAAAGGTCCTCGTCGGCGTCTTGACGGTGAGCGACGTCATCATGTGGGTGCGATGTCGCTCTCGGTGGCG